ACTGAGACAGTAAGAGGCTGTCCCAGCATGAGCCTGACAGAGACCTGGGTCTCGAGGTGCAACAGATTCTGGGATAAAACACACAATGGCAGGTAAAGAATATGTGGGCACCGTGTCCTGTGATTTTCGTTGCCTTTTAGAGCAGGGGTATTCAGTGCTACACTTGGTAACCACCACCATATTTCTGCCACAGGAACTGCCCTCTTGATTCCACCTCGACTATCACAACTACCTGCTGTGATTACCCACATGGTTCTTACACAGCAGACTTTGTGAAGGCCATGAAAGCTTTTGGGACAGGGACATCCAAGCACTTTGGCAGGGTAAAATGGCATCAGAATTAGAAGTAACTCTAGGAAACTGGAGCAGTTGTCTCAGATTTTCAGAAGGAAATTGAATGAAGAGAAAGAAAGTGCTTTTGGGAAGATTAGATGAGATGGCTTATGGCTCTTGAATTAAGAAGAAAAGGAAGTGGAGGTTGTAACCCATCACAATTTAACATTGAAAATAATAAAAAGGTTATTTTGATATTCCAAGGGAATTTTTTTGTTTTGTATTTGTGTTTGTGTTTGGATGTTATGCAGGCCTAGAATGTTTCTGTAGCAGGAAATAACTCACTGGATTGGATTGGTAATTAAGTGAATAAGAAAAACAGCATCTTTACTTTGGACAATATATCTTGAACAAAATAAAATTATTAAAATATCTACCATAAATTATAAATACCTTAAATATATTATATGCCTTACTTGAAAATTATCATATTCCTTGGGATTTTAAACTCATATCACACTTACTGGATGTTTTATTTTGCAGGGATTTTTTTAGGATTCTTACAACTTGCTGTAATTTTCAGTCTAAACTAATCATTTCAGAAGACTTGTGCTCTGCCTGAAGTCATCTTTAGATAGATTATTCTGGTCCTACATATTCTCCAGGGAATTACAGTGCAGCTTTATTAAGGATCAAATACATTACTTTATTAGGACACATGTAGAACACCAATGAAAAACTAAACTTTTACTGTTCTTGTTTTGTGATTATCTGCTATGTGTGGGGGGCAGGGATGACTTTGCATTGATGCACTATTTTTACAGTTGTCTGTCATGTGATCAGTACTAGTGCAAAGGTCCTGAAAAAAAGTTGATCCATAATGGCCATAAAGAAAAACCTCTCAGAGAAAAGTTTACAATAGATGTAGTTAATAGGCTCAAATAGAGCTTCTGACCCACATGGCAGGGATTGGCAGGGGATCTCTGGAACACAAATGCTGTGTGCCAGCACAAATGGCCATAAACATTTCAGACACAGTTTGTCATTAAAGGCAGATTCACCAGTTCATCTGTGAGCTCCCCATCACGCCCCAGGCAAGGAGGAACTCACCTGGCCCCTGAGCTTTGCTGCACAGCTCTCATGATAGTGCTATTACACCCCTCCAGCCCCACCATGACAGCACAGGACTGCTGGGAGGAGAACAGCCCAGCACACAGCAAGGTTTTGGAATCAGAACCCAAAGAGGTAAAGTCCAAGCTTAGCTACTGTGTGAGTGAAAGAGCAGTGTGGGGTCATGGGATGGCTCTGGTCCCAGAGCCTACAAAGTTCCCTGCTCCAGGAATACATGGCAGGCTGGAAGGACTTGTCACTGAGCTGAGGAGACTGATCTGTGCCACCTGGCATGGCAGTGACCGATGAAGTGCTCATTGCACATTTAGCTGATTAGACTATTATTAAAATAGGGTAATTCTGCATAAATACAAATATATCCCATCTTTCAGTAAGAGGTGTTATCCTATTATTCTTGAAAATTAAAGCAATTTTTGAGAATCCTGTTTTTTCTATGTAAATAATGAACATGGTAATTACCAACAGAAAATGTGGTATCAAAATACTGCAAACTCTTTCTGCATTTGAGAATGTCTCATATAATTTAATGTTCTGATGTATTTGTTTTTGAAGAAAGGAGGTAAACACTTTTTATATAATTGCAACACTCAGAGAAACAAAAGGTTAGTTGTGCAAATCTAAACAAGTCTATCTCCACAGTGTAGCTTCCCCCTGTTTCTCTTACAAATGCAGTCAACAGAGAAACGAGACAAATAATCAAGTGTCTGCTAATTTTATTTCATGCTGCTGTTCTCATTTCTTCTCCTTCCATGCCACTCTCCAACTCCTTTTGCCTTTTCCTTCTCCTTCCATTGCCATCAGAGCCTGTCCACCCCACTCACCTGTTCTGTAACTGAAGCTGTTCAGCTGCTTTGGCATGTGATGGAAAGGGCATCCTGAATGTCACCTCCTCGTCCAGAACCTACTGCTCATGTATCTTTCTCTGACATTTGCTGTCAAGATGGAAGGAATTTGAGTAACCATGGAAATCTCATGCACAGTCAAAAGCTGCTCATCATTAAATCTAAAAGTGCTGTGAGTTAACTGTCACTAATCTCTAGCTAGTTTTGCCCTCCCTCTTCACTTTTCTTTGGAAGACTGTTACTTTTCTTCAGAGGCAGATACTTGAGTGTCATCAGAGCAAAATAAACACATTCTTAAGTTTAATATATATTGTTAAAACTTCAGAATGCACATCTGTTTTCCCTGCTGTGAGATCAAATAATAACTATATCAAGCATTGCAGAAATTACTCTCCAAAGGAAGGAACAGGATCAGAAGATCACAAGGCCGCCTCAGTCCATCCATAGCTACCCTGAGACACAGGAGGTTCTGAACAGCTGCAGGCACAAAGGTCACTCGTGTTCTGTCTCTGCAATGGCCAAATCAGTAACTAGCTCAACCAGGTTAGTCAGTCTTTTATTTGTTAGGCTTAACACTGGCTTTTCCCTAGACATAATCCCCAACTTTTTTCCTGTCCATCCTTTTTAGCACTGCTCATCTGGACTCATAGCTCAAGTCTCTGAAGGACACATCTTACCTAGATAAACCACCATGACCCAGTTTAAATACATTATGCCAGGAACAGAGAAAGTACTCATCGTATTTCATTGAATTCAACACAATATCTACCTTTCAATAGAATAAAAAGAACTTTTTATGTGAAAATCATCCTTACCATCTCCAGGATCCAGTGCCCAGGCACATCTTAGCTAAAGTGTCAGAATGAGAAGCTTTGCACCAGAGAATTAGTGTTCTGGCATTTCTCCTTGTCTCATGCCAGCATTCCTGAGAGGTCTTGTTCTACCCAGGGATCTTCAGTATGAGGCTACACATTCCTTATCGGTCCACAAAGATCCCTCTTGGCATGTGTTATAAATATTAACAGCATAACTGAGAATAGCATTTGCAAGCTGCAAATCCCTCTGGGAATTGTCTTCAAAATTACTGTAAAACTAACATTAATCAGTAAAAAATGCTGAACATCATTCTTTAAAAATGAACAAGAAACTTGGTGCTTATCTTTGCCTTTTGTGAGCAATTCAGCATATGAGACAACTCCTTCTGGTGCATGTTGATAATTTCATTCCTAGTTAAAACCTTCTCTTATTCCTGCACTCTCATTCAGAAGATAATCTATTCTGGTAACCCTGTCCATTTTCCAAATATGTGATAATAACCTATTTTGGCAACAATAAGAAATGTAAATGTAACACTTGGATTAGTTTTGTTTTCTTGGTTCAGTCTACTAAAAGTGATCTATTGCTATAACCAGAAGGGAGAGAATTAATTAAAAGGAGCATGTCCAGGGAAGGGAACGGAGCTGGGGAAGGGGCTGGAGCAGCAGGAGCAGCTGAGGGAGCTGGGGGGGGCTCAACCTGGAGAAAAGGAGGCTCAGGGGGGACTTTCTGGCTCTGCAACTCCCTGACAGGAGGGGAGAGTGGGGCGGTGGGGGGTGGGTCGGGCTCTGATCCCAGGGAACAAGGGACAGGGTGAGAGGAAACAGCCTCAAGCTGTGCCAGGGGAGGTTCAGGTTGGACATTAGGAGGAATTTCTTCACAGAAAGGGTGGTCAAGCATTGGGAAGAGATCTGGACATGGGGGCTTTCAGCAGACTGCTCAGAATAGCAGGGGGTAGACACACAGCCAGGTCTCAAAAGCATCAGCTAGAAGGTTGTCCAACAGACCAGAAGGGTTTGCAGAGCTTGCTAAACTGAGACAACTAAAACTTCCACAGCTGAAACCAATACCAGAGAAAAGAACCTCATCCAGAAGGACACAAAGGTCAAGGAGAATTTTATATTGTATGCTTTTTTACTCGATTTTTTTTTTTGTAGTGGCAGACATAAGCCTTTCATCTGTATCTGTTGGCCTAACTGGGTTCTTCTTCCAGATCCCCAGGTCTTTTCTGCTCTGTGGTTGGCAGAGGTTCTGTCAGAGGTGATCTGAAACATCAGAAAAATTGAAAAGTTACTGTTTAATTGTTGTTTTAGTACAAGGGGTAAGATAGAAAACCAGTGGCATAAATTTATGTTACCATGTCTACAGAAGAATTACAGTTAACCTGTGAAAAGAAGCAACATACAAACATGAAAAGCATCAGTAAAGATCATTTGTTGCAATATTTTGGTGATAAATCTCCACTGTTGTTTTCAATTATGCCTTTGAATTTTTAGGATTTTTAGCTTTTTGTAGATTTTAATGTAGCTGTATAGTCTATCACAATTTTGAATTGTATTAACACTCACCAAACCCTATTCCCAATTTTATATGGAATTTTCTAAATTCTTTAGGCTTGTTTAGGCTCCTCTCAAGGTAGAACTGTAGTAAACACCTTCTGTTTAAGAACATTCGCACCCCAGGCCTGAAGAACAAGATACCATCATAGTCAAAGCAACCTTCAAGCCCGGAACCTTGGAGAAGCTCCAAAGACATGCTGTGAAGAGGAAGACGAGGAAGAAAGGGGTCTTAGGACCTTTGACTCAATTTCCAGAGAGGCATGCCCAGGTGGGTAGTTCTCAGGTCGGACCATAAATCATGGAACCCCTGGACATGGGCATGCACACCTTGTTTGTACTCCTGTGGCCAGAAAGCCTTCATTAAAGACCTGCTCTATTATCTTATCTCTACTAAATTAGCCTGGTGAGGTTTTTTGGCTCCCTATTTTTAGGCAACACAATAAGTCTGTATTAGAACATGTATATATTTCAAGCAGACTTAGCAAAGGAATTTAACAGTATTAGACACAGAACTTACACTCACTGTGCATTTCTGCTATGGAAACCAGGCTGTTCCCTGCAGTGAGCACTTCTGAATAAAATGAGCACAAGATATGGGTGTCCAGTGGTGTCACGGGCAGTCCAGACACAGCTCCTTCTCCAATATGACTCTCCAGAGGAGTGGGAAGGGAATGAACTGTGAGCTGCCAATCAATGGTGCCCTGTGTTATTTGGAAGTCAGGGCTTATCAGGCGTTGCTTCTCTCAGAGCTGCCATTTAGGTCCACCATGAGAAGATGAAGGGATGCAGGATTTCTGTCATGTGTCAGCAGAAACCAGGCCTAAATCAAACTGAGGTTACTCCTTGGGAGCAGAGAGCTAGGAAGGCAAAAGACCTTTTTTCCTTTCATATGCTCTGCCTCAGCTTTTTCATTCCTTCCTCTCACTGGATCTGACACCTTCCTACCCAGCCAGGCAGGTTCGTTGTCCCTAGGGACAGCTGTCACCTGCAAGGAACACATTCAGGAGAGGTCTCCTTTTGATACAGATGTCCCAACATCACGCCTGAATCCAGCTTGGAGCCCTAGAGCTGCACCTGAGTGACTCAGTGAAGGAGGCACTTGCACCTTCAGCAGGCTTTTCTGGAAGTTGTGTTACTCTGTTGGTCATATGAGATGTTTCTGAATGACTTGTGCTTGATGTTTTCAATCCCACAAAGTGGACAACAGCCTTTCACACACGTGATCTGAACAGGATTCTGTTCGTATACATGTAGGACAATGAGTGTCTTTATATTCAGGTCGAAAATCACTTTTGGTTGTATTTGCTTTGGAGAAAGCCCTTGGGCCTCAGCTTCTCGGTGAGGGAGTCACAAAGAAACATTCAAATATGAAAATTATGCAGAAAGCCAGTGCAAAATGACATTACAGGAAAGACAGACAGAGTTTTAGCAAGGTGTAGTGGGTTGACCCTGGCCAGATACCAGGTACTCACTAAAGCCGCTCTCTCACTCTCCCACTGCAACTGGACAGAGAAGAGAAAAAAAACCCAGCTAAGGATTCACGAGTTGAGATAACAGCAAGGAGAGGTGACTTGCTGATTACCTTCATGGGCAAAACAGACTCAAAGTGGGAGTAGTACTTAAATTTATTACTAACAGGATAAGATCCAAAGAGTGAGAAATAAAATAGTCTTAAAAACACCTTCCCCCCACCCCTCCTTCCTTCCATGTTCTCCCTCCTCTTCAATCTCCCCCCTGAATCTCTTTCTACCTGCATCTTTCCCATGCCATGCCATTCTGAAGCAGTAAAATATTTCAAGGCCTAGATCAGAGGGCATGTTCATCATATAAGTATAATCAGTGTTATGTTGGAAACTACTGATGCTTATTGACTTGAATGAATTATCCCCGAAGTTACAGTCAGTATGAAAGAAATGCCAATGCCAGCAGTGCAGGGCGACAGGGAATGGGGGTTACAGTCAGTTGTTGTTTCTGCCGCTGCTCAGGGAGAGGAGTTGGAATCCTTCCCCTGCTCCCGTGGGGTCCCTCCCATGAGAGACAGTCCTTGATGGACCTCTCCAGGGTGAGTCCGTCCTTCAGGCAGCAGCTCTTCCCAAACTGCTGTCCCGTGGGTCACTCCTCCATGGGGTCAGTCCTTCATGGATGAGCATGTGTCTCCCACAGGGGCCACGAGTCCTACCTGGGAAAAACCTGCTCCAGCCTGGGCTTCCCTCTCCATGGGCTGCAGGTCCCCGCCAGGACCCTGGTCCATCCTGGGCCTTCCATGGGGTCACAGCCACCTTCCTGCATCCACCTGCTCCAGTGTGGGAGCCTCCATGGGCTGCAGGGTACTCTGCACCCCGATGCTCCCCCAGGGGCTGCAGGGGGACAGCTGCCCCACCCTGCTCTGCCCCACGGGCCACAGGGGCCACAGCTCCAGCCCCTGGAGCACCTCCTGCTGCTCCCTCTGCACTGTCCTTGGTGTCTGCAGTGCTGTTCTCATGTTCTCACTCCGCTCTTCCCTGGCTGGAATTCTTTCTGCACAACAGCCTTCTGTTCCTAAATATGCTATCCCAGAGGTGTTACTATTACTCCTGGTTGGCTCAGCCTTGGCCAGCGGCAGGAAGTCCATCCTGGAGCCAGTTGGCATTGGCTCCACGGGACAGGGGAAGCTTCTAGCAGCTTCTAACAGAAGCCACCCCTGTAGCCCCCCCACCACCAAAACCCAGCCACAGAAACCCACTACACAAGGATTTCTCATTGTCCTGAACTGTTTTTTTTACTTGGTTGCAATGAGGTGCGGTGCCAGGACAAGTCTCACCAGGTGGGACTGCACAGCCTGCACTACACTCCTATATCACTAACACAGAACACACTGCTCTCTGAAGTGTGGGACTGCAGCAGTCTTGCAAATCTGCATGAAAGGGGACAGGATTTCATCACAATTCTAAACTTTCATCTCCAAAGTATGCAGCTCCCATTGGGTCTTTTGCTCTTTGAGTCTGAAAAAGAAATGTTAAAGAGAAAAGTGTTAGTCAGCAATTAAAGAACTTTCCATTTTAAAATGAATGACTTTATCTTCTAGATTCCTATAAGAGTGACAGCTGAGATTAGTTCAAGCCCTTTCCATTCCAGCAAATCTTTTGCTGCATCAACTTCTCGTATACAATGCACCCACATTACCGCATCTTCTTTCTCCCCTGCCTGTCCTTACTCATTTGTTTTTCTTCTCTTTACATCCCCTATCCCTAACCCTTCTCAGTTTCCCCACTGAGTGTGTTTCTCATCCTTCTTTCCCTCACCCACCATGACATGTCCTTGGAGGGACATGAGTCCTTTCCCTGCCCAGGCACAGGTGGGACAGACACACACACACTGCTTCTCTGCTCTCCCACCTGCACCTGGGCTTAGCCTTTGAAGGCTTGTGGTCTGTCAGAGGAGCAGCACATCTATGCAGATCCTGCATATTCCTGGTGCCTTCCATGGCCCTGAGTGCCTCTCAGTTCCTGGTCAGGCCATCACGGACCCCAATCAGCTGAGGAGGAGCTGAAGTGGCCCCAGGCACAGGAGACACTGCAAT